CTTATTGATAATTTGAAAATATATATGATATATTGTATTCTCATTTTAGCTGAACATGAATGATAGCACTGTAAGATACAGACTTGGTATTACTTTTGCATGGTTTGTATGAAACATTTTTGTAACCTGGTTGTATATAAACTAATAAGTGAAATGTCAATGTAGAAGTCACAGGATGTGGTTCAAAGCTTGCATTCCTTCCTTTTTTTTTTCTCTTTTAACATATTGGTTGCTCAATACTATGTCAACTCATTCCATAGCGTTATAAATTGTTACTTATGTAATGTTGGGGCTTTTGATTGATCGGGATGATACTCTGCTGGCTCTACCTTTAAACCAGAGATGGTCTCCCCAAGAAACTGTTGAACTTATCTGAACAATAAGATGCTGGACTTTATGCTTGATAGATGCTTGCAATGAAAGAATCTCAACTGAGTTTGAACTGTGGTAATGCAACAATGTGGAGGAATCTACCATGCGGGGGTGTTAGGGAGGGCGGGGAGAATCCCAGTGCCTATAAAACTGTGTCACATAATGCAATGTAATCAATTAAAAGAGAAAGAAATAAGAATTATAACATGCAGGTATTACAATACGAAACATAAAGTAACTTAAGATTATTTTCTTTTTTGTCTTAGAATTGATAGTGGGATTTAATAAAAAGTATCTTATACTTGAGATTGTAATTTCATTGAAATTGCATTTCTTACCTGTTTGAAATAAAATTTTAATCCTCAAATAGAGTCAGTCAGCCTTACTAGTTGCTAAGCAAGTGTGCTGTTACTGGATTTTGACAAAGAAGCAAACTGCAGGCCTTGGTGATATTTGAACTCACGACACTTGGCTTATGAGATCAGTGCTCTAACCCCTGAGCTACAGGGCCCTGACTGAAATAAAATTTTGTAGGTTTAGAAAGTATATTAAAACTTGAAAGTACCGACTTTCGCTCAAATTCTTGTTTTAAAGTTGAGATGTTGTTACTGATAATGCTAGTAACTATGGTTAGGTGACAATATTTCCCTTAAGTGATTGTTTATATCTTTACTCATACATTGCTAACAGGGTTTAGTTATCAGTTTAATACCACTTACAAACTGCATGTTTATATTTTTATTCTCATGTGAGTATGGACTTAGGCTTTAAAGAAAAGATAAAGCCAAACTATTATGCTGTGATGAATTTAGTAAATATTAAATGGCAAAGCTAGTTTTACCCTAGCTTAGAATCTGTGGAGAGAAAGTGAAAATTTTCAAATGGTGCTAAGTAGTATTTTGATGCTTTGCCATTTATAATGTCTTTGCCCCTTACCATTAAAATTGTGAGAGCTGAGAATGAAGAGGTAGGGTTATGATTTTGTTGCTGATTGTATTAAAGAAAATGAAAAACTTTGAAGGTAAATTTATCTTTATTGCAGGATAAATAGAATTGAGCTTTTGGTAGTAGTTGTACTTAATCACTCCTTACCACCTACCTACTGTCTCCGAAATTAAAGTTGTGAATTTGATATTGAATGTGAAGCACATCAGATGATATTCATTTCCATTATTGTTAAATTCTAGTTTTTACTGTATCATCATGTTTGGGATGTCAAAATATGCCCCGATGAGAGTGTAGAATGTCTACAGTCTCAATGTCATTGAAGTTCAGTAAGTCATGTAATTATTCAGAGGAAAAAAATCTGAGAAGCTGTTTATCAGAGAAATTTCATCAGGGCTATTGTTGTAAAGTATGCCGTGACAAGCAAAATATAAGATGCCCTGATGGTCCTAGTCTCCTGTGGTTTATGCCCTTCCATATTGAAATTGAGCCAGCTTCATTTCATGATTCTAACCAATGAATATGGCATGATGCTACGCTGTCACTTCTGTGATTAGGTTATATAACTGAATGATTCTCCCTATGCCTTCCAACCTGTTTTAGTCAGTACCTGTTTTAGTCAGAAGAAAGTTCCCTTGTTGACACATGCAAAGAATTGAAGGCAGCCTTCAACCAGCAAGCAACTAGGAACTGGGGCCCTCAGCTCAATAGCTCTGGAGGAACTGAGCACTGCCAACAATTACATGAGTTTGAAAGCAAATCCTTCCCTAGAGACTTTAGATGCGATCCTAGCCATGGCTCATTACTGAACCACAGCTTTGTGAGTGGACCCAACTTTTCTGATGCACAGAACATTGACATTATAAATCTGTGCCCTCCTAAAATTCTGTATTTGTGATATTGATGTGAGCAACAGAAAACAAATGTGTAAGTGAGGTGTGTTAATTTTCTAGGGCTAATATAACAAAGAACCACAGATGTGGCTTACACAGCAGAAATGTATTTCCTTACATTCCTGGATGCTGTAAATCTGAAATCATGGTATCAGGTGGATTGATTTCTTGTGAGGTGTCTGGTGCTGGCTTGTAGATCCTTGTCTTCTCCCAGTATTTTCACATAATATCCCCTAGATTCCTCTTACATGAATATCAAAGTCCACAGTAATGGGACCTCATTTTAACATAATTTTTTTTTTTTTTAAATATCATGTCTCCAGATACAGCCCTTTCAGGGATCTGGGAATTAAGGCATCAACATAAGAATTTTGCCGAGAAACAGATGAGCCATAATGATTGGCTATACAAAGCCTGTGATTATGTTGATCTCTGTGGCTAAAATTCCAGAAAACCTATTGTCTGGGAAAGTGTTTTGTTTCCTTGTTTTTCTTTGTTTTAATGTAATTATGCATTTTTGAGAAAATTTGTATCTATTTTAATCTCTATCAATCTAAAATGGTTTCACGTATATATTTGTATATCCCTGTCTCCACCACAAAATTGTAATTTCTGTAAGCAAGTATTTTTAATATATTTTGCATATAACCCTTTATAGTAAGTGATAATAGATGCATTTTTAAAATGTGGCCTAATCTTTTGTGTTTACACAGATACTTCTCATTAAGAATATTCTAGAAGTAGCTTGTCTTAAAGAGAAGACCCTGTTAAAGGGATGGAAGATTTGAGGAATTTATATTTAGCTGAATTATGCGTTATTTTAGGTGGTAGGTGGGTCAGAGACTATCTGTTATTTAATTGATGGTCTAACAGAATCTATTAAGCTATGTGCTGGTTCATGAAGATGTTCATTTCTTTTAGTTACTGACAACATTATGTATCAAAATATTTCCTCATAAATAAACTCTTAAAATAGCAGCTATTTGTATTATTCAGTTCTTGAAACTCTTTTAGTAAGTCTACAAAGTAAAAAAAAATATCTTTAAAGTAAAATGATATTATTGACATAAAAGTGTGTTGACACTTGTACATGTGTTGATAAATGTTATGTAATACATGAAAAATAAATAGTGGATAAAATTATAAGAGCCTTTGTATGAATTAGAGTGTTAACTTTTTAAAAGATTCACTTAATATTTAAAAGGGAAAGAGACTGAGGAAGAGACAGAGTGCAAGACTTTCCATCGCCGATTCACTCCCCAAATGGCTAAAACAACCAGGGCTGGGCTTGAGCAAAGCCAGAAGTCAGGAAGTTTTGTGTCTCCCTTATGGTTGGCAGGTACCCAAGTATTTGCACCCAGTGCTGTTCCCAGACACATTAATAGGGAGCTGGATTGGAAATGGAGTAGCTGTCTTGAACTGATGCTTATATAGAATACTGATATTTCAGGCGTTTGGATAACCTTACTACACCATAATGCTGGCCCCAAGTTAGTGATGCTAAGCCATAACATCTTTATATTTTTTAGCACTATACACTTAGGATTTAAAAAAAAAATCACTTGAGATAATCATTCATGAAATGAAAGTTAGTAGTTAATAACTCTTAGCCTGTGATTCTGTTTGTAATATTTCACATGATTAAACAAGAAATATAAGCGTAAAAACACTTCTGTTGTATACTAAAATCCAGTTGCTGTACAGCAGAAATGCCTGTGTAGCTTTTATTTATTTTTTAAAAGATTTATTTATTTTTATTGGAAAGTCTGATATACAGAGAGGAGGAGAGACAGAGAGGAAGATCTTCTGTCTGATGGTTCACTCCCCAAGTGGCTGCAACAGCTGGAGCTAAGCCAATCTGAAGCCAGGAGCCCAGAGCTTCTCCCAGGTCTCCACGCAGGTGCAGGGTCCCAAAGTTTTGGCCCATCCTCTATTGCTTTCTGGGACCACAAGCAGGGAGCTGGATTGGAAGTGGGCCACCAGGATTAGAACCGGTGCCCATATGGATCCCGGGTGTGCAAAGCAAGGATTTTAAACACTACGCTATTGCTCCAGGCCCTGCCTATATGGCTTTTAAAACTACAAGCTGGGGCCCAGCGTGGTGGCGCAAGTGGTTAAAGGTCCTCGCCTTGCACACCCGGGATCCCATATGGGCACAGGTTCTAATCCCGGCAGCCCCGCTTCCCTTCCAGCTCCCTGCCTATGGCCTGGGGAAGCAGTCGAGGACAGCCCAAAGCTTTGGGAACCTGCACCCACATGGCAGACCCGGAAGAGGCTCCTGGCTTCGGACTGGCATAGTATCGGCCTGTTGTGCTCACTTGGGGAGTGAATCATTGGACGGAAGATCTTCCTCTCTGTATATCCACCTTTCCAATGAAAAAAAATTTAAAAAAAACAAAAAACTACAAGCTGAACAAGTTGGTCTCACGGATACCAAAACAGACTTAAAACTTGGACTAATATTTTAAAAATATTATTACAAGGGTAATAACTGTGACTGATAACAGTTATCATCATTATCTTAATTCAAGCTTTCCGACAAAAATTGGAGTTTCCCATGTGGGTAGATGGCCATCTTCTACTGCTTTTCCCAAGCCATTAGCAGGGAGCTGGATCGGGAACTGGTACGAGCTCTATGTCTCTCCTTCTCTTTGTAACTCCAACTTTCAAGTAAATAAACTTTGTGGGAAAATAAAAATAGAGAGAAAGAAATCAAAGAATAAGTAAATGTAAATATTTAACATGCTTTATTCTGGTTGGCTGTGGAATGACTTTTTGTTGTTTTAACAGATCATCAGAAACTGGAAAGGGAAGCTAGAATCTGCCGTCTTTTGAAGCACCCCAATATTGGTGAGGAAACATTTTTAATGTATCTTAAATTATTGATTTGATGTGTTATGTTATGGATTTTCTTACCCATTAGTGTAACTATTAGCAAATAGGTTCATACTTTTGTTCTTGGTTAAATTTTATGTTTAACTTTTTTATATGTTTGTTGATGCATTTTTGGAGCAGGAGTAAAAAGTAAAAACTGCCTCTAAAATGAACTGATCTCAGTTTGTGCAATTTCCTGAGCATCGTGTGTTGACTAAATTAGCTGTGTATGTTTCCTGTTGTGCTGAAAAATGTATGAGGAAAAATGTACTAACGTGCTGAAAAACCGTACTAACTAGAAGAAAAAATTATAACTCAAGGAATATAAAATATAAATTTAGATGCTCATTAGTTATTTCATAGTAGTTTATTTTAACTGTTTCAGTGAGTTAAAACAGTAACTAATTTACTGTGTCTCTATACTCCCATTCAAAATGAAAATGATAGTAATTTCTCAAATTTTAAAGGTAAAAATCAAGTACAAAAAGCAAAAATATATATGCTTTTTAGTCATACCATACGTATATATAAATTTTAGAAAGCAATTTGTGATATTAGTTGAATTTTCAGCTACTGACGATAAAGTGTGTAGAGACAGAATTTATGCCATTAGTTCAGTCAACTAAATTACTTTTCATCTTTTCCTGGTTGATTCTATTTAGGATATTAGAAAAATGACTTTAGAATATTGCTCCCCTCAATTATAAAATAGCCCAGAGGTTTTAAAAATAAAAAAAGACATTAGTTGGTGAATATAAGAAAACTAAAGCAAACAAACTGGTGGAAAAAGAAGAAAAACTAAAATATATGGAAATGTTTGATTCTGTGATAATGGTTTTGATAGATTTGGAAAAATATTACTGCCCTAGCTTATTCACCTCTGTTGTCAACCAAAGCATTTCTGATCAAAAAGTAACGGAAAAAAGCTACTAATATCCAAGAATTTGAAATCATTCACTGAGGTGATCCCTTCTTTAATTTTTAATAAATTTAATTTTTTTTAATAAATTTTTATTTTGAATTTTGAATTGTGGTACAATTTTGTATAGGCTGGGATTCCCCGCCAAACTCCCAACCCCGTCAGATTTTTCCCATTTTGTTGCAATAGTAACAGTTTGGTTCATTCCAAATAATCTCTTTTCTCTAGGGCCATCCATTTCTATTCGTTCTTCCAATAATTCAGCATGTTGTATTTATTGGGTATGTTTTAGATTCTTCAGGAATAGAAACTGTGGAGTCAGTGAATAATAGCACACTTATGGCTGTCTAAAATCAGCATCTAGTTTTAGGCAAGAACAAAGCAACTCTGAAATCTGAATCTGCCACTTTAAAACTAGTTTATCTTCACAAAAGTCTATGATTTTTTTTCTTTTTGGTAGATTGTAGTGTTGCCCCCTTATGTACTGGTGAACACAATTTCAGGACCCCTTTTATCTGCTTGGTTTTATCAAACATCCTGTATCCCTTCCTGTGCCTCATAATGGTGTTTCAGTTAGCCATGGATCATCTCATGGGGTTATATCACCTAATGGAGATGGTAGCCATTTTTTTTTAGATTTTTGAAATTTTCATTGGAAAGTCAGATACACAGAGAGGAGGAAGGACAGAGAGGAAAATCTTCAGTCCGTTGATTCACTCCCCAATTAACCTCAATGGCTGGAGCTGCACTGTTGCGAAACCAGGAGCCAGGAGCCTGTTTAGGTCTCCCATGTGGGTGCAAGTTGGTAGCCATTTTAATCTGCGTATGGATACTCTTTTGAAGTTAACACAACAACAGCAACAATAAATTCTACCTAATAACCCCTTTATTATGTGTGCTCCTAGATAATACATTGCTGTGTGGTGACTTTTACACATACATTTATGATAAAGATTAATTTGTAAATTAAATGTATTAAGTGATTAACAATAACGGTTAGTAATAAAATAGGGCAATTATGACAGTCTACCATAATAAAAATGACGTCAGTGCGGCATCTTTTTCATAATATTTTACTGTGCTGTACTCAGCATGCTTCTTGTAACAATGTGGGATGAGAGAAACCTTTTAAGGACTTTTTTTTTTGCATTTATGTATCATCAGAATCTTAACTTCTGTTATTAATTGAAGTTATTAATTGAAACAGAAGTCTGTTGAATCCAAGCTTTGTGATGCCATGATAGTTGATTTAATAGCCAAGAAAGCTGCTAAATGACCAAGTGGCTGCTGGTGTATCAGCAGGGATGTGCTGGTGGGAGGCATGATTCAGCTCCAGGACAGGACAGACCAGAATGGTGCAAGATCTTATTCTCTTCAGAATGAATTTTAAGTGTAAAACTTGCTGAGTTTTCTGTTCAGTATTTTCAGACTACAGTTGACCCTGAATAAGCAAAATAGAGTAAGAGACCACAAATAAGGAGAGGAGGGGACTGGTAACTCATTGCAGATCTCTAAACCGGGAGGCAAGGACTCAGTGACTTGAAGCATAACTGCTTCCTCCCAGACATCTTCATTAGTAGCAAACTTGAATCAGGAACCAAAGCTAGGAGTCAAACCAAGGTTCTCTGATATTGGGACACTGTTAGTATTTTAACCAGTGTCTCAGTTGTTAGGCTATGCACATTGTCCCATGTGAGTATTTTAAAGGTAAATACCTTAAGTGCATGTCTAGGAGTACACTTTAGAATGGGGACCAAGAGAAGTTATGCTGTTCCTGTTGAAATCATAGCACCTACTACACAGTAGCATGTAACTGAATCAGATAGCATAATAACAACAGGGGTCCTGAAATTGTGTCCACCAGTACATAAATGGTCTTAAATGTCTATGCAATAGATATTGTAATAGCTATATAAAGATGGAACATTCTTAATTAGAAAATCTAAAATCATTAGACCAGCCTTGTGGTCCAGTAAGTTAAACAGCTGCTTAAAATGCCAGCATCCCATGTTGGAGCACCAGTTCTTGAGCAGACAACTCTGTCTCCAATCCAGCTCTGTGTTGACGTATCTGGGAAGTTGACAGGGTATTACTAAAGTAGTTAGTACTCTACTACTATCCATGTTGGAGATCCAGGAGGAATTCCAGCCTCCTGACCTTGGCCTGGCCCAGCCTCAATTATTATAGCCATTTGGGCAGTAAGAAGCAGATGGAAGATCTCTGTTTCTTTCTCTGCCCAACCTCCATTTCTCGCTGTCATTCTGCTTTTCAAATAAATAAAATAAATATTTTCCAAAAATCCAGGATGCAAGAATGTAAGATCCCACATGATATGTTTTAAAAATTCCACACCTGCCTTTATGTGGGAGAGTCATGATTAGAAAATATAAATACACTAAAAATATTGTATAGATTTATCCCTATGCTGTTTGCATCAAGGGCATATGAAATTTGTCAGTGATATGTTTAAACTTCCTCTCCCCAAAATATCTTCTTATGTATGTGCAAATTTTTCAAAATCCAAAACACGTCTGTTCTCAAACTTTTCATATAAGAGATAATCAAAATGGAAAGAGACTAATTTTTTCCATTTTCTCTGTTTTATTACTTACTTGGTTTTCAGTTAAGTTAGATAAGTTTAAGGAAGAAGATTCCGATTTGACAATATAGCCTCTGTGAAAATTTACTTACACTTTTGTGTGTCGTTCCCGTGGCACAGAAACAATGATCTTGAGAACATATAACAAATAAAAGATTTATTCCAAAGAAACACCTTTTAAACAACTTAAAGTGATAACTCACTAAATCACTTTTTCTTTAGCATATAGTTTCCTTTTTTCCACATCCTCACTAGCAAGCATTCCTTTTCTTTTTCTTTTGTTGCTTTTTTATTATTGTTTATTATCATTTTATGTTACAATTCCATAGGCTTCTGGTATTTCTCTTATCCCAGCCCCAATTCCCTCCCATATCTAGTTCCTCTACATCATTACTAAAGTAGAGTTTTTCATACACAATCATATGTCTATCATTGCTGGCTGGCATGGACTATGGCAGAGAATCCAGCATCCTATTGTCAAGATATAGTAAACAGTTTCATTGCAAGTCCATCTTTGTCTGGAAGTAGAGATGCATACTATATTGTATCCTTACATCTAGATATGTTAGTCTCCATTTCACAGTTACTGTACATCCCCTTAAATGAAAAATCATAATACAAAATCAACAATAGAAAGAAAAATAGAAATTTACAATGTCATGGAGTTAAAGAAAATGTTACTAGATATGACAGTCTCCATTTCACAGCTACCATACATCCCCTTAAATGAAGAGCCATAAAACATAATCAACATCAGGAAGAAAAAAGAAATTAACAACACCACGAAGTTAAATAATATGCTGCTAAATGACTAATGTGTAGCTGAAGAAATGAAAATCAAGAACCTTCTTCAAGAAAATGATGCTAGGGCCTGGCACGATGGCGCAGTGGTTAAGGTCCTCGCCTTGCACGCCCAGGATCCCATATGGGCGCCAGTTCTAATCCCGGCAGCCCCACTTCCCTTCCAGCTCACTGCCTGTGGCCTGGGAAAGCAGTCCAGGACGGCCCAAAGCTTTGGGACCCTGTGGGAGACCTGGAAGAGGCTCCTGGCTTCGGATCGGCATAGCATAGGCTGTAGCGCTCATTTGGGGAGTGAATCATCGGACGGAAGACCTTCCTCTCTGTCTCTCCTCTATGTGTATCCGCCTTTCCAATAAAAAATAAAATAAATCTTAAAAAAAAATGATGCTAGTGTATGATCTATCAGTCTTTGAGTAATTTAATCAGAAGAAAATGTTTGGAAGAGATGAAATTAACAAAAACAAAAACATCAAAATCCATGAGATATAGCTTCTGCTGATCTTTGTGGGTGAGATATATCACCTGTAGGCAACAAATAGATGGGTTTTAATCCAATCTACTAATATATGACATTTTATTGAACTTAACCCATTTACATTCATGGTTAATACATATGGGTTGTACTTTAGTTTTATCATTTTAGGAATGGGTTGTTCA